CAAGATATCTATATAATTTTTTTTTTCGATTCACACATATGCTTTGAAAGTGTATAACATTCCCGACACACATTCAATTTTAACGTTAATAATTATCAGAAAAAATGACGCTTTTAAACGTAGCTATTCATCAGCGTCCGATCGATATATATATATATATATATATATATATATATATATATATATTGGCTAAATGTGGTTTAGCGCGGCAAACAAGATACCATCGAACACCCGTCCTTGTTCGCAGAGTTATTGAATCGCGTCAAATAAAATACGAGCCAATAATGTTAGGTATATTAAATAGTTCTGCAATTATTTTCTTTTTGATTTTTATCTAATTCACACGTTTAGTTTATAGTTATTCACTAATCACAAAATTATTAAATGTGACATTTTTTTCTATACCCCAATAGGCAATTGTACACTAAGAAAAAAAAATTTAGTGTTTGCAACAAAATTGTTTACTTAGACAATTTTGGTTCTTATAACCAAATTTTGGTTCTTATAACCAAATTTTGGTTGGCTGAAAAAATGTCGTAGAGTTATCTCAACCAAACATTTGGTTAGGCCAACAAAATTATTTGGTTGAACATTTTTAAATTCCAACCAAAATTTGGTTTCGACAACAAAATAATTTGGTTAATACAACAAAATAGTTTAGTCTAAAAAACCAAATGATCGTTTGTTGTCCTAACCAATAAAATTTTTAATTTTACAAAAAAAACTGTTTATTTGATCAACCAAACATTTTTGATGACCTAACAAAAAAAATTTGGTTGAGGTAACCAAACATTTTTATAATGCCAACAAAAAACACTCAACCAAATTTTTTTATTGATTCAAACAAATAGTTTGGTTGCTTAAATATACCAACAAAAATTTTTTTGTTGGCCCAACCAAATTTTGATTACTCTGACTAAACATTTTTCTCAGTGATAATATTAAAAACTAATTAAAATTGTTGTAAATAAAAATTCTCCTTACCTTAATGGTGTCTGCACCTTAGATCGTGAATAGTTTAGCATATTGCAAAAACACGTGCACACAGCAGTAAAAATCTGAAAAAATAAAAAAAAAACATTTATAAAAATTTGAAAAAGACGTATTAATTGTTCCAATCTGTCTTATATTTTGACAGAAAAAAAAATAAAAAGAAGGAATGCAGGGTTAACCTTGTTTTGAAATCAGAATCAATAAACGACTTTTGTGAATATTTAAAAAAAAAAAAACCTTTCAATGATTAATGTGTACGCCTTATCATAAAAAAAACCATATCCGAGCAAAATGTCCATAACAGCAGTGAGCGCGCGCTCTCTCTCTCGCAAGTGTATGTTGTAGCCGTTGGACACCTGGAAGATCGATCGCTATAACTCTCTCCCCAATATTTCTTTTGGCCTGGATCTCAGCAAATGAAGATAAAAATAAAAAAAAAAAAAAGAACAAGTTCAAAATTGCATCTTATGGTGTTTTAAAGTACTTATTTTTTCACGCCCGAAGTGTATTAAAAAAAAAAAAAAAAAAATTGCAACCAAATTTTATTCTCCATTTTATTCACTAGATATTTTACAAATTTTTTTTCATGTAGAAATTGCATTTGTCGATTTTCATTTTCTATTCTTATTTATTATTTTATTTCCTTTATGCTTTATTATTTTATTTTTTATTATTTTATTATTATTATTATTATTTATTATTCTTTTATAATATTATAAATAATAAGTAAAATTATAAAAATAATTAATAATAAATAAAATAATAGAATGAAATAATAAAATATAATATAATAATAAATAATTAAGGGGTTAGGGGTAGTCAGAATTTTCAAAAAATCAAATTTTTTTTTTTTGCATTTTCGTTAAGTAAAATATCTTAAAAATAATCTCTGAAAATTTCAAGTTAATCCGATAATTCGTTTTTAAGTTATTCGACAAATAACAAAGAGAGCTCGGGCCTTTGAAAGCGTTCGGGAGCGCTTGCAGCTAGTGTCAGCTGCAAGAAATCGGCTTTTAGGGTTCTATTGTCATCGATGAACTCAGACTTGGGTATATGTAGTAGTACCTAAATTAATATGGCCCAGGAATAGATGACTCGGTGTAAGTAATTTAATAATTCGTTTTTTTGTACGTAAATCTAGTGTGAAACTAAACGCGTTTTTCTCAAAACTATGTTTTTTGAACTGGTGACAACTATAACTCGAAAACCGCTCAGTCGATTTTAATGAAATTTATACAGCTTTTAGAATACATAATAAACTCGGGCCTGATCGAAGGATTTTTTTTTTTTTGAAAAATTTCGATTTTTTAAGACCAATTAACTGTTGATTTTTTCCCAAAAATCTAGACAAAAATTTCCTGAGGCCGCCATTTTGTTAATTTTTGAAAAAAAAAAAAATCCTTCGATCAGGCCCAGGATTATTTATTTATAAAACTAATTTTTTTTATCCGATTGATTTCTGATTAATCTCCAAGGACTTATGATTGTCACCGCAAGGACCTTTTTTTGGAACTGGGTTAACACAAACAGCTGTAACTTCGGAAATAAAAATTTTTTTTTTTTGAAATTTTCGTGACTTCAAGTCAAAACATTGTTTAATAATACCATATTACTACTTTTGTAAAATAAAATTATTTAATAGCAAAAAAAAAATACTGAAAATTCTCATTTTTTCGTGCCTCTGACTACCCCTAACCCCTTAAATAATTTGAAATAAAAATTAAATAATAATTTTTTTCTCAATGATTAATTAGAATGGAAATTATTGATTGTAATTTTTCGTACATACAATGCATATACAGGTGGTACATTTTTTTTTGGCAAAGAAAAAAAAAAGAAGTTTATAGCATTAAATATGACATCATGACTTAAATATTATCATCAATGCATTTTGGAGGTGTAAAAAAAATTGAGAAATGCCGGAAGGCAATGGAAGCATTTTTTTTCCATGTGAAACGTCTGGTAGAGCAATTTTTCAAGGCGGGTTATATGGCCACCATTAAGGCGCACACTGTTTTGTACCAATATGTTACCCAACTTCGATTATATGTATATATATAATCAGAAGCCTACCTGCGGCTAATTTGAAATAAACCTTACAAATGATGTAAATATTCCCATATGTAACATATGTGTATTGTCAAGAAAAAAAAATTCAAAATAATTTAAAAATAATCTTTTAAAAAAAAATTCCCTTCACATTACTGGAATATTCAATTGGAATATTGGGAATATTACCGGGGAATATTATTTCCATTTTCCAAAAATATTGAAATAAACGGCATTTAGAATATTACTTTGGAATATTCCATTGAAATATTATAGGAATATTATGGAATGTATGGTAATATTCCACTAGTATTTTGTAAGGAAATATTCCCATGGAATATTGTAGAAATACTACTGTATTTACTGTGTAATATTATTTCGAATATTTATTCCAATGTAATATTCTACTAGTATTATGTGGAATTATTCCCCTAGAATATTTCAATGGAATATAATAAATATTCCTCTGGAATATAATAAAAATTCCTCTGAAATATTCCATTGTGTAATATAAAAAATATTCTTTCATGTTTTTTTTAATGAATATTCCATTAAATTTTTTTTTATTCTTGGAATATAAAAAAACTGAGGTTTTTTTATTAAGAAAATTAGAAGAAATTAGAAAAAATAGATAATATTGAACACGAATTTTTGTGAATCATAAATTAGGATGGAAACTCGTTAAGACAGACGATACATGAAAAGTAGAATATTAGGTTTCGATAACGATAAATCTATTTCAAACTTTCTGAAGTACCGTTTTCATTGATTCCTTTTTAAGGAAATGTAAATTAATTTAATTATATTTTATTTTTTTTAGTATTAATTTTATACTATTAACAAATATATATTATGTCAATGTTCTATTTAAGATTATTCTAAATTCTATTTTCATTTTTGGGAAAAAATAATTTTCTCTATTTTTGGAATATTTCTTCTTTAATATTCTTTGAATATATCCTTAATATTCCCTGAATATTTCTTCTCTAGCATTCTTGGAATATTTTCCTAATATTCACGGAATATTTCTTTAATGTTCTTGGAATATTTTTGTAATATTCCCTGATTTCTTCTTTGATATTCTTGGAATATTTCTTAAATATTCTTGAATATTTTTAATATTATTGGAATATTTCTTAAATATTCTTGAATATTTTTTAATATTATTGGAATATTTCTTTTTATATTCTTGGAATATTTTTATAATATTCTCTGAAGATTTATATTCTTGGAATATTATTTCATCAATATTCTTGGAATATTTCTTTTTATATTTTTGGAATATTTCTTCTTCAATATTCTTGGAATATTTCCTTAAGATTTCTTCTTTAATATTCTTGGAATATTTCCTCAATATTCTCGAATTTTTTTTTAATATTATTGGAATATTTCTTTTTATATTCTTGGAATATTATTTCATCAATATTCTTGGAATATTTCTTTTTATATTTTTGGAATATTATTTCATCAATATTCTTGGAATATTTCTTCTTCAATATTCTTTGAATATTTCCTAAAGATTTCTTCTTTAATATTCTTGGAATATTTCCTCAATATTCTCGAATTTTTTTTTAATATTATTTGAATATTTCTTTTTATATTCTTGGAATATTTTCTTAATATTCCCTGAAGATTTCTTATTTAATATTCTTGGAATATTTCCTCAATATTCTTGGGAAATAATTTTTTTTTTCAATCCTTCTTTTTGATAATTTACAAAAAATAAATTTAATTTAAATTCTTATTTATTTATTCGACCTTCTTCTTTTTTCTCACGAGCGTAATTAATTAAAAGATTAAAATTAATTAACGATAATATTTAAATATATATTTATCTCTAAAATGAGAGTTGAATTTATGAATGAATTGCAAGAGTCTCGTTTATGTATAAATATTATGTAGAAAATATCATTAATCAGAATTTAAAAATAGTATATATATATGTGTGTGTGTTTTAGTTATTAGATCGATGAGAGCCTATCTTCAAGGTGCTTTAGAATCGAAGGATGAACGTTAAGAGCTGTCATTATAAAGAGTATATAGCTTTGAAAATCGGTCTTTGAGACGACCAAACACAGAGGGAGGGGGAATTAATGATCTCCTTAATGATTTAAAACATGTCATCGAATGAGCATTCGTCCAATTTGAGAAATTCAACAAACATGCTTGACGAGACAAAAAATGTAGTAGCAGAAAATTCCAAATTAAATAGTGATAGCGACTGTAGACTTCCTAGTGACACTGATGTAAGTAATGATTCAAACAAGTCAATTTTAATCAGGTTGAATATCAATGCTAAGTCACATTTATTTATATATATATGTGTGGACACATTTTATCAGAAAACTTGTTTTTACATGCTTTCACGAACAAATTTCTATTTTTCTATTTTTTCTTTTTTGAAATGTGTCACAAAATATATTTTATCACATTTATTATTTTAACCTTATTTAGCGATTTTTTAAACAAAAATCATTATTATTATTATTATTATTATTATTATTATTATTATTATTATTATTATTATTATTATTATTATTATTTAAATTATTATTTTTTATTTTAATTATTTTCGATAATAAAGTATTATTGTAATTATATTTTTCCCTCTCTTTTTTATTTTTCATCACAATATTTTTTTATTGTCATTTATTTAATTTAATTTTATATTTTAATTTTTTTTTACATATTCCAAGAATATTTTTATGGAATATTTTAAGGAATATTACATTATTTCATTTAGTAATATTTCATTAAAATTTCCAAATAATTATAACTTTAGTAATATTTCTGAAATATTCCACTATAGATTTACGATTATTTATATGAAATATTCCACTAAAATTATGGAATATTTATATGGAATATTCTTTTCAAACTTTAGGAATATTTGTATAAAATATTCTATTATAAGTTTGGGAATATTTATATAGAATATTCTTCCAATACAACTTTAAGAAATATTTATGAAATATTCCATTTAAAAAAAATTTAGGATTATTTTATAAATTGTCGCAACATTAATTTAATGTAATGTTTTAATTTTTTTTTCTTTTAGGCTGCAAATTCTGAAACAGTGACAACGACAACAAAGAATGCATTAATAAGTTCACAATTAGGACCATGTGAAACTTACCCACACAAACTAAAGGTTTCCATCATTGGTGCCGGAAACGTGGGAATGGCTTGTGCCATTGCTATTTTGATGAGGGTAATTTAATACAAAATCTTTATGCGTAAATTATTCTTCAGTGATGTGTTATTTCACACTTATTTTTTTATACAAAAATTAATTTTAAGAATAAATTTTTATATTTAAAAAAAGAATTTAGAAAAATACATTTTAAAAAATATATACGTTTCTAAATATTCATAAATATTCCAGAATATTCCTTGGAATATTTCACAATATACCTTGAAAATATTTTATAATCCTCCTTGGAATATTTGACAATAGTTCTTAGAAATATTTTTAAATATTCCTTGAAATATTCCATAATATTTCTTTGGGAATATTTTATATATTAATCTTTGGAAATATTGTGGAATATTTTCGAATTAAATATTTAAATATTAATTTTAAATATTTTTCAAATACAGATGGAATATTAAAAAAAACATTAATGGAATATTTCAAAAGAAATGGAGAGAATATTCCAAAAAAGATATTAATAAAATATTCTAAAAAAAATTTGTAAAATATTCCATAAAGGAATTGATGGAATATTCCAAAAAAATATTAATACTCTATTCTAAAAAGAAATTTGTGGAATATTCCGTAAAAAAATTGATAGAATATTTAAAAAAAAGAATTATTGGAATATTCTGAAAAAGATATTAATGGAATATTAAAAAAAAATATATATATTGTAATGTAATATTCCTTTTGGAGTATTGTGTGAGTAAATTGTTTAATCATGATGTATTTAAATATGTTGGAACAGAGAATAGCGAGTGAGATTGTTTTGGTGGACAAGCATGAGAAGGTTAAGGCTGAGGCTGAGGACATAAGACATGCTAGTATCTTCCTAGGAAATCCTTTAGTTATCGGGGCCAAAGGTATGCATTTACCGTTCTAAGTAAGCTGTGAGTATGAAATGTTCGTGCAAATCAATTGTTTTTCTTGTTGAGTTCTCTTCATCTCCGATTCCACCTCACTTCACCTCCTCATAGACAGAATATCATGAACTCAACTATGAAAAATTATTTTTCACTTGTTTAACAAGAGAAAAACAATTTGCATTTTATCAATACAAAATTTATTATTGTATTTCATTCTTTTATCAATTATTATTATTATTATTATTATTATTATTATTATTATTATTATTATTATTATTATTATTATTATTATTATTATTATTATTATTATTATTATTATTATTCTTATTATTATTATAATTTAGTGATTCATTTTTATTTGATATTCTTTAATATTCTTTAATACTATTTAATATTCTTGGAATATTTCCTTGAATATTATTGAATATTTCTTTAATCTTCTTGGAATATTTCCTGAATATTCATAGAAAATTTCTATAATATTTTTGGAATATTTCCTGAAGATTTCTTCTTTAATATTCTTTGAATACTTTCTTAATATTCTTGGAATATTTCCTCAAGATTTCTTCTTTAATATTCTTTGAATATTTTCTCAATATTCTTGGAATATTTCCTCAAGATTTCTTCTTTAATACTCTTTGAATACTTTCTCAATAATCTTGGAATATTTCCTCAATATTTCCTGAAAATTTCTTCTTTAATACTCATTCAATAGTTTCTCATTATTCTTGGAATATTTCCTAAATATTCTTGAATATTTAGAAACTATTATTCGAATATTTCTTTTTTTTATATTCTTTGAATATTATTTCATCAGTGGTTTTTGGAATATTTCTTCTTGAATATTCTTCTTGAATATTTTCCTAATATTTTTAGAATATTTTTTCAATATTCCCTGAAGATTTTTTCTTTAATATTCTTTGAATACATTCTAAATATTCTTGTAATATTTCCTGTAGAATTCTTCTTTAATACTCTTTGAATACATTCTTAATATTCTTGGAATATTTTATTAATAACTTCCAATATTCTTGGAATATTTTATTAATAACTTTCAATATTCTTGGAATATTTTATTAATAACTTTCAATATTCTTGGAATATTTCCTCAAGATTTCTTCTTTAATACTCTTTGAATACTTTCTCAATAATCTTGGAATATTTCCTATATATTCTTAGAATATTTCTCAAATATTCTTGAATATTTTTCAATATTATTTGAATATTTCTTTTTTATATTCTTTGAATATTATTTCATCAGTGGTTCTTGGAATATTTCTTCTTGAATATTCTTCTTGAATATTTTCCTAATATTTTTAGAATATTTTTTCAATATTCCCTGAAGATTTTTTCTTTAATATTCTTTGAATACATTCTAAATATTCTTCTAATATTTCCTGTAGAATTCTTCTTTAATACTCTTTGAATACATTCTTAATATTCTTGGAATATTTTATTAATAACTTTCAATATTCTTAAAAAAATTTTTTTTTGTTGATATTTTTTGAATACTTTCTTAATATTCTTGAAAGATTTCTTCTTTAATAAATTCTTGGAATATTTCCTATATATTCTTGGAATGTTTCTTAAATATTCTTGAATATTTTTCAATATTATTTGAATATTTCTTTTTTATATTCTTTGAATATCATTTCATCAGTGTTTCTTGGAATATTTCTTCTTGAATATTATTTGAATATTCCTCTAATATTTTTGGTATATTTCCTGAATATTTCTTGTAGATTTTTTTAATTCAATATTCTTGCATTTAAATATCCCGAAAAAAATTTGTTTATAAAATTATTCCATCAATGGGAATATTTTAGAAAGAAAAAAAAAACGTTTTCATTTTGTAATTCATTGTCTCGCGTTTTGTATGGACGACGAACGAAATTTCTTAAAATCTCAAATTGATACATCGTGACTGATGGAGCGCAAATTTTTTTCTTTCTTTACCCCATTCCGTGATGATGATTACCGATTGAGGATGTGATCGAGCTTTTTAAAAGATTCTTCGTCATTTTTGATCAGTCATCACATTTTATATACCCCTGTCAACGCGCACCGAGTCAGAAATATTCCTTCCCCTACTCAAAACGATGAAGAAGAAAAAAAGGAAAAAAAAAAAATTTCAGGTGAAAAAAAAGTAGAAGAAGAAGAAGAAGAAGAATAAAGAGTCGGATGTGAAGTCTCGAAATCCTTTTAATCATCTCCTTGCATCTCGAGTCGTTGAGCCGCGTGCAGGCACGCGGACGGTGGATGTTTCCGTCGCTTTTTCCGGGCTGGTTCGTAAATTTCGAGTATTTATTTATCGCGATGTTAAATCGCCGCCACTGCGTTATATAGGGTTAGAACCACAATCCACGTTAAAATAAAAGAAAAAAAAATGAAAAAAAGAAACAGACACACAAACGCTTCAACGCATTTGTGATTCACTGACCGATGAAAAATATTAAATATTCATGTAAAAGATTATATGAAAGGTGGAACTATTAAAGGATGTAAGCGCCATTTACCATGCGCCGGCATTATTTTGTACAAAAGTCACATGGAACATCTGTGTTGAAAACTTACGTATTCACTTTTTTTTTTTTAAAAAAAAAAGGACAAAAAAAGTATATTCCTTTTACATGAAAAATAATCCCTTGTCTTTTATAACATTTCCGCTATGTATTTTTTTATATTTATTGTTTTATCAAAACTTGTGTGTAATTTTATCTTGTCTTCAATTTTTTTAATTTCTCTCAAGAATTATTTTATTTTTATTTTAATATTTTATTTATATTTTAATATTTTATTTACATTTTAATCCTCAACAACACAGAATGTTCCATTCAGATTCGTGGAATATTTCATTGGAACGTTAGAAATATTACAGGAATATTAAAATTGCTGACATTAAAAACGTTTCTTTGGAATATTATGGGAATATTTCATAGAAATATTGTAGAAATATTAAATTGAAATTAAAATCCATTAATTAAAAACGTTTCTTTGGAATATTATCGGAATATTCATAAGAATATTAAAGAAATGTTTTAAAAAGGAATATTATAGGAATATTCCATTGGAATTATGTGGAATTACTCTTTTGGAATATTTTTGGAAAAAAATTCCTTAAAATAGTCAATAAAATTCAAATACAGAAAGAATATTCAAAAACTGTGGAATATTTCCTATAATATACTGAAAATATATTCAAAAACATTGCAATATTTCTACAATATTTCCATTTTAATATTTACACAATATTCCAAAGAAATATTACTAAAATATTCCAAAGAAACGTTCCAGTAAAACATTTTAATATTCTTGGAATTAATATTTCTTTTGTATATTCTTAATGTTTTAATGGAATATTCCATTCATATTCAAGGAATATAAAAGACTCCTATCTTTAGACGTTCCTTTGGAATATTTTAGGATTATTCCATTGGAATATTATGGAAATATTCAAATGAAAATTATATATAAATATTCCAAGGGAATGATCCAAATTTTCTAGTGGAACATTGGAATAATCCTAAAGAATGTTCCACTGAAATATTCCCGGAACATAAATAGAATATTTCGCTCAATTAGGGTTTATTAATTTTTTTTTTTTTTTGGATTAGTTTTATTCTGTTTTTTTCGAATTTTGGAATAAATTATAATGGACCAATTTTTGAAATGATAAAAAAAATCTGAGATTGTTAACAAAAAAAAAAATACTTTTTTGATAAGTGGAACATAAAGAGGATATGATAAACTGTTATATTATTGAGCCTCATTAAAATGTAATTTAAAAAGTAGAAAGCATATATATCTGTATATTATACATACAGTTATATATTCTTTGCTCCTATTCAATTGTCTTATTCGAAATAATTGTTTTTTCTAAACTGTATTCATGACAATGTTGTTAAAACGTATTTTTTTAGACATTTTATTTATAATTATCAAAAAAAAAAATAGAAAACAAAATATTTTTTCAATTATATTAAAAAAATAGAAAAAAAAATATTTTTTTCTATATTTAGTGGGAATTGTTTATTTAATTATTAAAATATCCGTGAGAAATCACAACAGGAAGAAAGAGGAGACATTTTAAAAGTAAAAATTTTTTTTACGGTGTTTTCTAACTTGTTTAAAACAACACAAGACAGTAGAAGAGAAAATATATATAAAAACGCGTGTAAAATAGCTTCCGAGAAGACTTTTTAACTCTTGTTTATCTGCTTGAAAATTACAGCAAGCATCCTTTTTCTCACACGTTCGCGGATATATAATCTGCGATTGATCTTGAAAAAGAAAAAAAAAAAAAAATTTTTTTTCCCCTACTTTCAGAAGCTTAACCACACTTTTGTTTTGACATTTTACGATCGTACGTGAATATTTGTAAAAATAAAAAAAAAAGTAGTAACGTAGCCATAAGAGGTGTTGACTAACATTTTAATTTTTCTGGAAAAACTTGTTCCTCCATATTTATATATATATACACTTGGCGGATGAGATTTCTATCAATTTTGAATCGTAAAAAAGTCAACACAACTTTTTTATGGATGTTGATCTTAAAGAAAGATACAAATTTTTTTTTTTGTCGGAAATTAAGAAATTTCGGTTCTCGTTGACAGGAAACAGACTTTATTTTGATAAAAACGACAAATATTTGTAAATTTATTATTTATAATGAGCAAAAAAAAAAATAAATCGATAAATTTTATATTTAATTATTGGAATTTTAGGAATATTGTAGGAATATTTTTAATAATATTTCAAAAATATTATTTTGGAATACTGTAGAAATATCTTTGGGAATATTTTCAACAATATTTCATAAATATTATTTTGGAATATTGTAGGAATATCTTTCGGAATATTTTCAACAATATTTCATAAATATTATTTTGGAATATTGTAGGAATATCTTTGGGAATATTTTCAACAATATTTCATAAATATTATTTTGGAATATTGTAGGAATATCTTTGAGAATATTTTCAACAATATTTTAGAAATATTCTATGATAATATTTTTGGAATATCTTTGGGAATATTACCAAAAATATTTTCTACAATATTTTGGAAAAATTTTTTGAAATTATTTATAATATATTTTTATATAAAAATATTGCAGATATCTCAATGATTAAAGAATCAGGAGTGGTGATTATCGCGGTAGGCGATCCGGCGCCAGGAGACGAGCCAAATATAGAAAAAAATTTGAAAATATTCGAAAAAATTATACCAGGAGTTGCAAAATGGTGTCCAAAATGTGTGATTGTAGTGGTAACACAACCAATTGATATTATGTCCTATGTTGCATGGAAACTGGCAAAATTTCCATCCAATCAAGTTCTTGGAACTGGAACTCTAATAGACAGTGTCAGATTTCAATATTATTTGGCCCAAAAATTTGGCCTAGCAAATAATTCAATTAGCTGTATGAATATTGGGGCCCAAGGAGTGCAATCTGGTAGGAATTTTTTATTTTTGCCACTTTCTTATTTTAATTATAAGATAATTAAAATTAATTGCCATTATTAAATATTTCCAATATGGAATATTCACATTTTAATGGAATATTGAAATTCCAATGGAATATTATTTTAAAATTCCAATGTAATATTAATTTTAAACTACAGTGGAATATTAATTTAAAACTCCAATTAAATATTATTTTAAAACTCCAATGGAATATTATTTTAAAATTCCAAAATATTCCACTGAAATATTAAATATTAAAGTAATAACTTTGATATTCCTGGAATATTGATGGATTTTCTTCAACAATATTCCTGGAATATTAATGAAAATATTCCTTATAATCAATATTACAAAATTTGAAAAAAATTGATTCAAAAATAAAACAAGTAATTATTAATGAAATGAAGAACCGGTTTGAAAAAATTTCTTTTTCTTTTTTTTTTTTTTAATTAAAAGCCTCAAAAATGTCACACACGTAAGGTCTCATTTCCTTCTTCCGATATAAGAGAGGAAGAATAATTTTTTGAACCATATTGTGAATGGATCGAAGTTTAAAAAAAAAAAATAATGAAAAGATGACAATATACGTGTGCGGTATTGTAACCTTATGCGCGCACGAGGACAGCACCTCAAGATGGCACATATATTCGAGAACCAGGAGCGCAAAACTTCATTACATTTATGACAGGAAATTAATGGACTTGGCTTTATGAAATTTATTACAGTTATTTGCGCTTGTATTATAACTAATTTATCTGATTGGCCCTGGTTAAAAAAAAAACTGTGAGCGCGAGAAGTGCGTATCAGTAACATAATTGAAATCTGTGAAACAAGTGATTTATACTAATTGGCCGCGGAAGCGATAATAATTTTACTCTAAACGGTAGTAATACCAACTAGTGTTCAATATAACTTCATTTCATCATTTTCCATCAACAAAAGTCATTTATATATATATATATATATATATATATTTTTCTTTATTCCATTCATAACCAAAAACCATTTTCTATACCGATATAGAACTACCATCACTAATTGATATTCCATTGAATTTTTATTAGGAATATTATTTGGAATTTTTGTTAGGAATTTTCCATTAAAATTTTATTATGAATTTTTCATTGAAATTTTATTATGAATTTTCCATGTAATGTTCGTTAGGATTTTTTCACTGGAATTTTATTAGGAATGTTCCATGGAATGTTTGTTAACAATTTTCTATTGGAATTTTATTAGGAATGTTCCATGAAATGTTTGTTAACAATTTTCTATTGGAATTTTATTAGGAATGTTTCGTTAGAATTTTCGACAGGAATGTTCCATGGAATGTTTGTTAGGAATTTTAAACTGAAATTTTATTATGAATGTTCCATGGAATGTTTTTTAACAATTTTCCATTAGAATTTTATTAGGAAAGTTCCATGGAATGTTTTTAACAATTTTCCATTAGAATTTTATTAGGAATGTTTCGTAGGAATTTTGTTAGGAATGTTCCATGGAATGTTTGTCAAGAATTTTCCACTGGAAATTTATTAGGAATGTTCCATGGAATGTTTGTTAAGAATTTTTAACTGGAAATTTATTAGGAATGTTCCATTGAATGTTAGGAATTTTCCATTGGAATTTTATTATGAATGTTCCATGGAATGTTTGTTAGGAATTTTCCATTGGAATTTTATTATGAATGTTCCATGGAATGTTTGTTAGGAATTTTATTAGGAATGTTCCATGGGATGTTTGTTAAGAATTTTCCACTGGAAATTTATTAGAAATGTTCCATGGAATATTATGAATTTCCTATTGAAATTTTATTAGCAATGTTCCATGGAATGTTTTTTAAGAATGTTCCATGGAATGATTGTTAGGAATTTTATTAAGAATATTCCACGGAATGTTTTTTTAAAATGAATTTTCACTATTCTCAGAATATTATTTTGTTTTTGCACAGAAATTCAGCTATTTTTTTACAATATTTGAAAATCTAGTTTCCGTGTATAGTGTAAAGCAAAAAAAAAATAAATAAAATAAAAATTTCGAACTTCTCTTTTAATCAGATACAATCTCACAGGTGGTAATTTTTTGGGGGAAAACATTCGCCAATTAATTTTGTCCTTTTGGAAAGGCCAGTGAGATGTTCTTTTTTAATTTATTCCTTCAATAAATTTCTGCGATTATTGTAAATTATAGTTCCTGTGTGGTCGAGCGTTAATGTAGCCGGTATGAAGCTGCGGGACATTAATCCCAAGATGGGTGAAAAGAATGACCCTGAAAAATGGTACGAGATCGGCACCACAGTGAATGAGTGGTTAGTCATTTTATTTTATACACTATATATATTTATATATATATATATACATATATGAAAGTGAAATTGAGCCATTGAGTTTCGCGTGGTAAACATTCCAGTCATTCCGGTTTACTTCTTTTTTTTTAAAAAAAAACTTTATATTTTTTTTATTTATAGTGGCAATACACTTAATCAACAAAAGGGTTCTAAAGGACCAAATTCATGGGCTTTGGGTTTCTGCACTGCTGAAATTGTCGATGCCATTCTCCGAAATACAAGAGTCGTACTTCCGGTTTCTACTCATATTAAGGTTTTCAATATTTTTTTTATTTTATTTTTTACACACTGGAACCTGTGTTATTGAGATTTTTGTTTTGAAAGTTTTAGTTTATGCAATTTGAAAATTTTTCCTACACTGGAACCTGTGTTATTGAGACGAGCGTCTCGATAGCAAAGGTTTCAGTGTACTTTATTTTATTTCCATACACTTGAACGTATATTGAGACAGGTTCAAGGCACCTTGAGTGTCTCATTAATGAAAGTTACTATGCATTCTATTAATATATTTTTAATACACTGGAACCTAAGTTATTGAGACGTTATCCAGACACCTAGAGTTTATTGTGCTTCTATCTTATTAACAGAAGTAACAGCGTATTATGTATTGTATTTTTAATTTTAATACACTGGAACCTCAGTTAGTGAGACGTGTTGCACGTCTCAATAACTCGAGTTTCAGTGTATTATTATTTTTTCTTATATTCTCTTTATATCAACCTGAGTCAATGGAACAGTTTAACTATGTATGTCTCATTATTGCAAGTTTCACTGTAATTAAAAAAATATTTTCTGATTGTTTTTTTGCATTTTTATTATCGGTATTTTTTATATATTTTTTTAAAAATAGAGTTGCGCTCATGGAACTGACAAGGATATTTTTATGTCAATACCTTGCGTGATTGGAAAAGAGGGAATTCTTCAAACTGTAAAGCAAAAATTATCGGACGAGGAAAAAAATGCGTTACAAAATTGTGCCGATGGAATTCGCTCCACTATCAGAGAATGTGGAATTCTAAAAGAAGTCCAAGAAGACATTGATAAGGAACAAACAGAGGGATAGTATTTTTCCCTTCAAAATCAAACGAGAATTTTTTCTAAATTTTTTTAAAAATATTTTTATTAAACAAATTTTTGAGTAAATTTTTTTATTTTCTTTAATTTTAAAATTTGTTAAATACTATTTTTATAATATAAAAAAAAATTTGTAAATTTTTGAAATAAATTTTTTTTTTTTTTCTAGAAAATAAAAGGCGCACCTTATTTTGTCCTTTAACTGAGAATTCGTCGCAAATGTATTTTATTTTTTTTGATTTTTTTTTTTTTTTATAATCACTTGTTTTCGAAATAAAAAATCACTAATTAATTTGAATTTAAATGAAATCTTGGCGAATATAAAGAGATGTTATCATTTAGAAATTACATTTTGTCGATAAAAATTTGTTTTTATGGAACAATTTCCTTTTGGTTGTGAGGTTGCTCGTTATTGGATAATTTTTTATTCTTTTTCCGGCATCTGAGAAAATGTTGGAATCATTGAGGGAATCGAAGATATTCCAATTATCGTTAAAAAATAATAATAATAATAATAAAAAAAATCAGAGAGAGAGAGAGAGACCCATTATACAAAAAACGGGGTTTACGTGAAACTTGGTTGGTAGCCTCACTTATCTCACTTCATTAGAATTAAGTGTATAATGAAAAACACAAGTGCGTAATGAAGCTATAAAATTAACATGCTAACGGCCTTTACCACAGAGCCGGAAAGCCTGTCGATTTCTTTTTTTATTTTTACATAATCTTTGCCAAGCTCATCCTTTTTTCCCAAAAAAAAAAAAAAAAAAAAAATTATACTTTTATTATTTTAAACTGTTGTTTTATAAATAAATGTTGTTTTACATAAAACACTGTTTTTTTTTAAAGAAAAAGGAAATTTACTTTTTTTGTAAACAAATCTGATTTTTCTTTATTTATATAAAGAAATTTTTTCCCTCAAACAAAAATTAATTATTAATTAATTATTAATAATTAATTATTAATTAATAAAAATAAAAATTTGAAAATTATAAATCAAATACAGAAAATGGTTTTGATAAATTATTCGATTTTTGATAATTAAAAAAAAAAGTTATAAAAACGAATATAGAAATTTTTTTTTTGGTATTCAATTTTGTTTTTAAACAAAAAATATTGTAGATTGTCATATATATTAATTTTGTAAACATAACCAATATTTATATAGGAAAATGAAATTAAAATTTTCATTTAGGAAAAAATTTTTAAATATCTTTCTCTAATCACAAAAAAAAATTAATAATGGTTGACACGAAGAAAAAATTTATTGAAAATACTGGAAATACAACAACAGTTTTGTTAAATAAACAACATGAGCATATTCTCACGGGTCATCGTGTAAAAATTGTTATTGTCGGCAGTGGTTATGCTGGTATTGCTTCTGCAATTGCTATATTATTCAAGGTATATATTATTTTGCAAAATATTAATTTTGAATATTAATTTATTTATTAACATTTATTTATTAACATTTATTTATAAAACAAAAATTTTAAATAAATAAAAATAGAGACATTTTTTTCTATTATTACTTTTGTATTAAGTTAATTTTATATATTAATTTATGTAATTAAAAATAAATATTTTTGAAATAAATAATTAAAAAATAAATAAATTAAAAATAAATTAAAAATAAATTAGAAATATATAATTTTAAAATAAATATATTAATATTTTCGAATACCATTTTTTTTATGTATAAATATATATTATCTTCATAATTATTTATGAACAGAACATATACGTTAAAACTGAAGTACATATAATGTGAATGTAATTGCAAGAAGGTAATTAAACCCCTTGGAAAAATATATCTATATATATCGTATACCAATAATTTTATGCTATATTGCAATGCACAATACATATAATATGCGATAAATCTGTGAATTATTATAATATATCGTCGTCCGGCATAATAAATAACATTATGAAATGTGTGCATATGATTTTTTTTTCTTTTCAAAATTAAATAAATACAGAAGTCTAGAAAGTTGAAATACTTGACAAGACGCATCTCAACTCTTGATAATAATTATAATTTTGTCTCTATATACGGGAATATGATATTATCTCATTGCTGTAATTTGTTGTGTTCACATTTATAGAATTTCAAGGATATTATTCTTCTTCTTGCTGTTCGTATACAGCATCCTGGCAAACTCTAATCTCATATCTTAAATAGATATCACGCTTATCTCACCAACGTCTAATTTCATTGCTTCAAAGAGTATTCTCAGTTTACTATTAATATGTATTCAAAAGAAATTAATTATATTGCATGCTCACGAACATCATTTTTTTTTACACCTACTCTCGAGGAACAGTTGATTAGAGCTTCGATTTTTTTTCTTATCAAAAAGAATTATTTAATTTTATTTTATTAATTTTTATTTAATTAATTTTTATTTAATTTAATTTAATTAATTTTTATTTAATTAATTTTTATTTAATTAATTTCTATTTAATTAAATTTATTTAATTAATTTCTATTTAATTAATTGTTATTTAATTAATTTTTATTTCATTTTACGTTATTTATTTTTTTTGTAATTTAAAAATAGAAATACAAAAAAATACCAAAAATATATTATGTATACGAATAAAAAAAAAAATTGTAAATAAAATGCGCAAAGCGGACGTTATTTTTGGCAAAAATAATAATGATATAGAGAGGTTTCGCTAATTCTAGGGTAAATTTCCGCAAATCGTTAAATACAAAGTCGAATATAACAATAGCAAGCCGGACGTGACAGGGCGTTTACCATATATATTTGCCATTATTTATCAAAAGGTTATCCCCCTCTCTCTCTAATTTTTTTTTTACAAAAAACAATATGTGAAAATAACGACAACGTTACAACCCAAAAAAAATTTTTATTTGCATTTATTTGAGACAAATAAAATTTTATCTGCCTCAAATAAAAATATATTTGCATCTAATAAATATATATTTGCATCAAATAAATATATATTTGCATCAAATAAATATATATTTTGCCTCAAATAAATAAATATTTGTCTCAAATAAATAAATATTTGTCTCAAATAAAAATATATTCCTTTTAGAGTCTAATAATAAAAAAAAAAAAAATAATAAGCTTTATATTTTCCACCTGACAGAGATCACGAGCCTGACACACTTCATTTGGGATAATAAATTTTAATTTTTAACAGAAAATAATCTAACAGCTTTTAATAATCGTTTTTCCCTCCCAAAATGTATATTTGAGAACAAAAGCACTTTTCTCGAAAGACAAACGACAGACGTGTTTTACATTATTTCCGAATATATATAATTTTAATAACAGAGCGGGCACTTCTTTGGACTTTTAATTAGCCTTAAAAGACTAAAGTGAAAATAACAAATCATTCCAAAAATTTTCCCCCCAAATATATTTAATGCATTTTTTAATTTTAATAACGAAATTAATTCAATTTTATTTTTTATTTTAAAATATAAGTTTATTTAAAATTTATTTTATTAATATGAAATATATTTAAATTAATATAAAATATATTTTAATTAAAAAAATATATTTTTATTAATAATAATAATAATAATAGTAATAATAATAATAATTTAATCCAGATTGTTTGGAAATTTATTTCTAAAATTTTTTTAAATTTATTTATTTATATTTTTAATTAAAAATTCTATCCTATGAAATTCGGCTAATTAGAAATTTATCATAAAATTTGGTGAATATGGATAATTCGAAAATATATTTTAATTAAAATTTTTTTCGGACCCAAAACTTTTTGCAAAATTTCAAAAAATAAATTCGACAAAAAAAAACAAAAGGCAATTTCACTCGAATTGAGAAAAATTAATTGATATGAAAACTAACCCTTTCGAAAACTAACCTCACCAAAATTAGAAACAATTTTTTTGGCAATTTATTTTATATTTCTATATATATATATTTTTTTTTTTGAATAAAAAATTTTTTAAAAAAATAAAAATACAATTTTTTTCTATGAGAAAGCAATAAAAAAAATAGAAAACAAAACTGAAAACTAGAAAATTAAAAGAAAAGTAAAATTGAAAACTAGAAAATTAAAAGAAAAATAAAACTGAAAACTAGAAAATTAAAAGAAAAATAAAATTGAATACTAGAAAATTGAGATAAAAATAAAAATAAAATAAAACAAAAATAACGTATAAATAAAAAAATAAAACAAAACTAAATAAAAATGGAAGAATAAAACAAAAAAAAATAGAAAAATAGATGAATAAAACAAAAATAGAAGAATAGAACGAAAATAGAAAAACAAATTTAAAAAAAAAAATGTCGAGTGCAAGATTGACAGTAAAAACTGATGAATAAATCATGGAAATTATATATATATATATATATATAGTTAGAGAATAATATGATAAAGTTCAAGTGCCGTTGTTCGCGAGGAAGTTTGTCGGAGCACATCAACGAGATAATTGCAAAATACGAGTGCCCTGAAAGTTGTTCCCGACCAATCATACCCTCATTACCAGCACCTCCAAGCAAAACCACTATCACGTGTCCTTTTTCTCTACGCTTGCCACCGTCCCACAAACCCCTGAATGGAATTTGTAGCCTCAAGTCATCGTCAATGAAAATTGTACTATGCCCAGCATCATCATCGTCATCGTCGTTGTCTCGTCTAAAAGGAGTATTTTCACTCAAGTCAACTTGTTCATTTAATCGCTTCAAGCCTTCCTCATCATCAACAGTAAGCAAACAACAACAACAAAATTTTAATCATCCCCTACCATCCATTCGACCTGGACCAAATCTCAAACGTTATCTCGCTACAAAATCCATTAATTTTCCATCTCAAAATAATAATCGACAGTAAGTGTAGGATCAATTTTTTTTTTAAATTATTTTCTTTTTGTTTCCATTTACCTAGAAAAATAAAGCAAAAAAATTTTTTTTTAATATTTGTGCATCCAAATCACTTTTATCGTTTCGAAAACATTTTCATCCCTCGCATTTTGATTCTATTTTTATTAATTTCATTTTTTAGCTATTTATGATTTTTAATTAAATTTTATTTAAAAATATTTTATTATTACTTATTTTTTATTTTATTATTTATTTTTATTATTATTACTATTTTTTAATAATAAGTAACAACAATAATAATAATATTAATAATAACTATTTATTATCACTTTGTTAGCATATTTTTTCTAGACTACACCTTACGAAAATGATTAGTTTGAATAATTATACGTAGTCTAGTGATTAGCGTTCTCAACTTGCGAAGCAAAAGTCCCAGGTTCGAATCCTGGCAGTGTTACAGATTTTTCCGTTATCAAAATTAATTGCATAAATGTTGAAACGTAAAAAAAATTATTAAAAAAACAATAATAAATTATAAAATAACAATAATAATGATAGTAATGAAATAATAATATAATAAAAATAATAATATAATAAAAATAATATTAATAAAAATAATATTAATAAAAATAAATAATAAAATATTTAAAAAATTAATAATAAAAAATAAAATTGTAATATAATAAAAAATAGCAACAAAAATAATAAGTAGGTAATAAAAATAATATTAATAAAAATAAATAATAAAATATAAAAAAAAAATAATAAAAAAAAATAAAATTATAATATAATAAAAAATAGCAACAAAAATAATAAGTAATAAAAATAATATTAATAAAAATAAATAATAAAATATTTAAAAAAAAATAATAAAAAATAAAATTATAATATAATAAAAAATATCAACAAAAATAATAATAATAATAAATAATAAAATTATAGTATAATAAAAAAAACAATAAAAATTATAAAAATAATTTGTTGATTAAGCAGAAAAAACAAGATTTGGTTGCACAAATATCTCGAAAAATTCCTGAATATTATTATATATCTCTTGGAATCCGACATTATTTTACAGGAAGCAAGTTTTTCATTTTGCAATGCAAAGTAAAACGTCTAGTGACAAATGTCATAAGAAAAATAATAATATTCGGAGCACGTGCACGACCCTACGAACCGCGTCACTCTTGACTCGAGAGGAGAAAAGTGACTTCCGGATTTTACCTGTAGCCACCTGTTGTGAAATCTGTTGCAACCTGACGATGCCAGTGTCGACCTGTTGTAGGAAACGAAAAAGAGGAGGAGGAGGACAAGAAGACAACGAGCCTTGTTTTTCGTCGAAAAATTTGGAGAGCAAGTTTAAAAATCCGGTTTAGCCGGATTGAAAACTGGCAGCTGTGATCCTTCAATTAGTTCACAAGGATTAGAAGACTTTTTTTTGAAATACGAATGAATTTTTTTTTTAATTTAGAAATAATTTATAACCAATTGTAATAATTAATTTTCATACCAATTGATATTTTCAAAAAAAACTACTATAGTTAAAACTACCAACTACCAAACTACCAAAAAATTATTCATTTTTATAAACTGATTTTTAAACTAACGTACATGGAAACTACCAATTATAAATATTTTTAACAATTGGGTTTTCAACTACTGTAGTTGAAAATTACTAACTGTAAAAAAATTAAACTACCGTTATTGAAAACTACCAATTATAAAAAATTATTCCTTTTTAACAGTTGGTTTTTTAAACTACTGTAATTAAAAACTACCAATTGTGAATAATTACTCATATTTTACAATTAGTTTGAACTACTGTAGTTTAAAATTACCAATTGTGATAAATTACCTATTTCATAAATTGGTTTCTTTCAATTATTATAGTTGGAAACTACCAATTGTGATTAAAAATAGTAAATATTACGACAGTTGAAACTGCCAATTGTAAGAAATTATTTACTTTTAAACAATTGGTTTTTAAACTACCGTAGTTGATAACTACCAATTATAAAAAATTATTCATTTTTAATAGGTGGTTTTTTAAACGACCGTAATTAAAAACTACCAATTGTGAATAGTTACTCATATTTATCAATTGGTTTGAACTACTGTAGTTTAAAATTACCAATTGTAAAAAATTACCTATTTCATAAATTGGTTTCTTTCAATTACCATAGTTGGAAACTACCAATTGTGATTGAAAATAGTAGATATTACGACAGTTGAAACTGACTTAAAAAATTATTCACTTTTAAACAATTGATTTTTAAACTACAGTAGTTGGAAACTACCAATTGTGATTAAAAATAGTAAAAACTCTCGTTAGTTAAAAATAATTCAATTTTATAAATTGTTATTTAAAACTACCGTAGATGAAAATAAAATGGAAAATTACTCCTTTTATCAATTGGGTTTTTTACCACTAAATAGTACGCGGATTAAAAAAAAACTACAAATTGCATTGATAAAAATAAGAAATTACTAAATTTACTAATTGGAATTTTTTCAAACTACCGTAGTTAAAAATTACCAGTTGTTACAATTTGTAGTTTTCAACTGTGGTAGATTTGAAAAAATAACAATTACTTTTAATACTAATTATTGACAGTAGTTAAAATTGGTAGTTTTTCTACGTATTTTTCTTATAATTCGTAGTTTTGAATTATAATATATTCTAATAAGTAGCATTGCTTTTGGTACTAATCATTGACAGTACGTTTAATTGGTAATTTTTTTCTAACGTATTTTGGTTACAATTGGTTAGTTTTTTATACGTATTTTTGTTTCAATTGGTAGTTTTTTTCTACGTATTTTTCTTACAATTGGTAGTTCCCTACTGGGGTAGGTTTTAATAATTATTTATTAAATTTGTTTGTACTTATTATTAAAGGTAGTTGTAATTGGTAGTTTCTTTTTATATTAAAAGTAATTGTAATTGGTAGTTTTTTTAATAATTGGTAGTTTTTTGTCTCTGCTATTTAGTGGTAGTTTTACAATTTTACAATTGGTAGTTTCTATATTATTGTAGCTTTTACAAAAAATAACAATTGGTTACATTAGCAATTGGTTAAATAGAAATTCTAAATTAAAAAAAGGGGGTTACTCCCTCCAAAAAAAATTTAATTTCCACGCTATTGGTTGATCAAGAAATGGCAAAAAAAAAAAAATTACGCCAAGCATTATAATATGCAGAAGCTACTGAATGATCCGGTACGCTCGTTTGCGATTTTATATTATAATGAATAATGAACAACGTCTCATCTTCGTGTTGAAAAAAAGAAAAAAAAATATATAAAACAGACACAGCCAATTTTTGCCAAGTATACATATATATATGAATATATATACAAAGTGAAGGAAAAAATCAGGCCCTAAACTTTCCAGGGGTTCCAAATATAAGAGGGAAGGAGGTAGAGAGAGATGGACCCGACCATCTGAGCTGTTCAGACGTGTAATTATTCAAGAATGAATTATCGTACACCATAACGTTCATGGGGCTGGTATTTGTAGTCATCGTCGCCATGCCGACAAAGTATATTATATATATATAAGCAAAACTATTCCGTTATTTTTTATATAAGGGAAAAAATGCATTTTTTATCCTATGTCCTGGGAATTTCATTTATTAATATTATTATTAATATTATTATTATTAATATTATTATTATTAATATTATTAATATCATTAATATTATTATTATTATTAAAATTATTATTACTTTACTGCTATTATTTTTTATCATTAGTTTATTTCAAACAGTTTCAACAGAAATAATTTTTTTTTCAGAGACTCGCCTCCGAACTAATAATTATTGACGTGAATGAAAATTTAGCAAAAGCGGAAGCTGAAGATTTGGCACATGCTGGAGCATTTATCGGCAATCCAAAAATTATTGGCACTAAAGGCAATTTTAATTTTTAGTAATTCTGTATTTTAATTGTAAAAAAATTCCTAATTATTATTATTATTGTTTGTCTCAAAAGAAAAACATTTTTTTTTTATTGTGAAAAATTACAGATTATAGTTTAGCAAGAGATGCAACTGTTTGTGTGATTACTGCAGGAAAAAGAAAAGAAAAAGGTCAAAATCCAAATGATTTGATTGAAGAGAATTTTGAAATTTTCAAATCTTTGATACCAAATGTTTGTAAATATGCACCAAATAGTGTTCTTGTTATTGTTACTACTCCCGGTTAGTACAAGATGAAATAAATTATTTATTTATTTAATATAATTTAAATAATAATAATAAAATTATAATAATAAAAATTTAATAATAAAAAATAATAAAATAGTAATAATAATAAGTAAATAAATAATATTTAAATAGTATTTTTAATATAAATAATTTTTTAAAATATTTGTTAATAATTTTTAATATAAATTAATTACAGTCGATATTTTGTCGTATGCTGCAATGAAATTTTCCGGATTTCCACCAAATCGTGTTATTGGTCTCGGGACATTTTTGGAAAGTTGTCGATTTCAATTTTTCATTGCACAAGAATTGGGCATATCAATAAATTCCGTTCAAGCATTAATTATAGGGGAAAACAGTCCAACTTGTGGTATATAAATTATATTTTTCCAAATTAAAAAAAATACATTTTTTTTTAAATTAAAAAATACATTTTTACAAATATAAAAAAAAAAAGATTTTTTAATTGTATTTTTTTAATTGAAAAATACATTTTTACAAATTAAAAAAAAAATGTTTACAAATTTAAAAATATAATATAACCATGCAATAATATAATACAAAATATTTCTGACCTTTTTTAACCTCTGCAAGTGATGTATTATCAGATCTGCTGGAAATACACGCGATTTAAAAAATTTCGAACACTCCCGTAACTTTTCAAAAAATTAAGAAACAAAATACTTTTTTTCTGAAAATTCAAATGATTGCGCGATTTAAAGAATTTTTCGAACACTCCCGAAAATAATTTTAATTTTGATTTTACGTTTGAAATTAAAAAAAATTTCACTAATTTTGAGAAAAGACGTCCACACAGGTCAATGCACTAATTATAAATGATTAAATATTATTATTTTTGGGACTCTCAATGTACATAATTATTGACCTTTGGCTTCAGGTAATAAACTTTGTATTTGAATGTAAACATACAATTGGGGGATGCAGGTATAAAAATAATTTCAAAATCACTTTGGGGCACATTTAATAAAATTATATTTTGAATATTTATATTTATAATTTCAAAATAAATATTTGTTAAAAAAATTTAGAAATTAAAATTAAAAAATGATTAACAAAAATAATAAAATGCCAAAAAAAGGATTTAAAAAAAGTACCTAACAGAAATAAAACATTAAATAATTAAAAAAAGAAATAAATAGAATAATTAAACAATAAATACAAATAAAAAAAATTTAATTAAAAAAATAAAATTAATTAATTACTAATTAAAATAGAAATAAATAATTAAATAAATAAAAATATATATATGATCCAAAACAAAAAAAAAAAAATTATAGAACTAAAAAATACTTTCAATGGAAAAATTATTACACCGTCCGACAAAATTCAACTTTTTTTTTGACCCACAAAAAAATCCATCATTTTTGGAAATTAGGGCCCAAAAAAATACCCGTGTCTGACCGGTTTGCTAGATCAAGTCATTTGTGGTTTTTATAGGTGAAAATAGCTCCTAAATAAAAAGTGACAAGATATCTTTTAAAAATTATTAATATTTTATAAAACTTGGTATCTGGAGGTTTTCGGGGTCGCTGATTATTAATCTGATGTCAGATTTTAAAAATTCAAAATGGCGGATTCAATATGGCGGTCAAAATTTTAAAAAGTTATTAAATTTTTATTAAACCTTGGTATCTAGGGTTTTTTTTGGGTTGCTGATGACGAATCTGATGTTAAATTGTCAAAATTCAAAATGGCGGATATAAAATAAAAAAGAAATGTATGGCGCACTTTTAGATTGGTCCAGCGGATGCTGAGCTACACTCAAAAACATTTTTGAAAAATTTTCGAAAAAATAAATTACCATGATAAACGTTCAAGAATACCGCCCGAAAATTGAGCAAAAAGTCTCGAACAAAAAATGTATGGCGCACTTTTTGATTGGTCCAGCGGATGCTGAGCTACACTCAAATAAATTTTTTAAAAAATTTCGAAAAAATAAATTTGCGAGATAATTGATCGGGAATACCGCCAAAGTCTTAACCCGGGAGTCTCGAACAAAAAATGTATGGCGCACTTTTTGATTGGTCCAGCGGATGCTGAGCTACACACAAATAAATTTTGGAAAAATTTTTGAAAAATTAAATTTTCGAGATAATCGTTCCGGAATACCGAAAATAAAATAGGGAAAAAGTTTTGAACAAAATATGTATGGCGCACTTTTTGATTGGTCCAGCGGATGCTTAGCTACACTTAAACATATTTTGGAAAAATTTTCGAAAAATTAAATTTTTAAGATAGTTGTTCAGGAATACCGCCAAAGTCTTTAGCTAAAAGTAGCGAATAAAAAATGTATGGCGCACTTTTGGATTGGTCCAGTGGATGCTGAGCTCCAGTAAAAAACAAAATTGGAAAATTTCCGAAAAATTAAATTCGCGAGATAATATATCGGGATTAATGCCAAAAAATTGAGCAAAAAGTGTCGAACAAAAAATGTATGGCGCACTTTTTGATTGGTCCAGCGGATGCTGAGCTACACTCAAAAATAATTTCGAAAAATTTTCAAACAATTAAATTCGCTAGATAATCGTTCGGGAATACCGCCATAGTGATTAGAAGAAAGTTCCGAACAAAAAATGTATGGCGCACTTTTTGATTGGTCCAGCGGATGCTGAGCTACACTCAAATAAATTCATGAAAAATTTTCGAAAAATTAAATTTTAGAGATAATTGGTCGGGAATACCGCCAAAGTCTTAACCCGGGAGTCTCGAACAAAAAATGTATAGCGCACTTTTTGATTGGTCCAGCGGATGCTGAGCTACACTCAAATAAATTCATGAAAAATTTTCGAAAAATTAAATTTTAGAGATAATTGGTCGGGAATACCGCCAAAGTCTTAACCCGGGAGTCTCGAACAAAAAATGTATGGCGCACTTTTTGATTGGTCCAGCGGATGCTGAGCTACACACAGATAAATTTTTTAAAAAATTTCGAAAAAATAAATTTGCGAGATAATTGGTCGGGAATACCGCCAAAGTCTTAACCCGGGAGTCTCGAACAAAAAATGTATGGCGCACTTTTTGATTGGTCCAGCGGATGCTGAGCTACACTCAAATAAATTTTGGAAAAATTTTTGAAAAATTAAATTTTCGAGATAAACGTTCAAGAATACCGCCCGAAAATTGAGCAAAAAGTCTCGAACAAAAAATGTATGGCGCACTTTTTGATTGGTCCAGCGGATGCTGAGCTACACTCAAATAAATTTTTTAAAAAATTTCGAAAAAATAAATTTGCGAGATAATTGATCGGGAATACCGCCAAAGTCTTAACCCGGGAGTCTCGAACAAAAAATGTATGGCGCACTTTTTGATTGGTCCAGCGGATGCTGAGCTACACACAAATAAATTTTGGAAAAATTTTTGAAAAATTAAATTTTCGAGATAATCGTTCCGGAATACCGAAAATAAAATAGGGAAAAAGTTTTGAACAAAATATGTATGGCGCACTTTTTGATTGGTCCAGCGGATGCTTAGCTACACTTAAACATATTTTGGAAAAATTTTCGAAAAATTAAATTTTTAAGATAGTTGTTCAGGAATACCGCCAAAGTCTTTAGCTAAAAGTAGCGAATAAAAAATGTATGGCGCACTTTTGGATTGGTCCAGTGGATGCTGAGCTCCAGTAAAAAACAAAATTGGAAAATTTCCGAAAAATTAAATTCGCGAGATAATATATCGGGATTAATGCCAAAAAATTGAGCAAAAAGTGTCGAACAAAAAATGTATGGCGCACTTTTTGATTGGTCCAGCGGATGCTGAGCTACACTCAAAAATAATTTCGAAAAATTTTCAAACAATTAAATTCGCTAGATAATCGTTCGGGAATACCGCCATAGTGATTAGAAGAAAGTTCCGAACAAAAAATGTATGGCGCACTTTTTGATTGGTCCAGCGGATGCTGAGCTACACTCAAATAAATTCATGAAAAATTTTCGAAAAATTAAATTTTAGAGATAATTGGTCGGGAATACCGCCAAAGTCTTAACCCGGGAGTCTCGAACAAAAAATGTATAGCGCACTTTTTGATTGGTCCAGCGGATGCTGAGCTACACTCAAATAAATTTTTTAAAAAATTTCGAAAAAATAAATGTGCGAGATAATTGATCGGGAATACCGCCAAAGTCTTAACCCGGGAGTCTCGAACAAAAAATGTATGGCGCACTTTTTGATTGGTCCAGCGGATGCTGAGCTACACACAGATAAATTTTTTAAAAAATTTCGAAAAAATAAATTTGCGAGATAATTGGTCGGGAATACCGCCAAAGTCTTAACCCGGGAGTCTCGAACAAAAAATGTATGGCGCACTTTTTGATTGGTCCAGCGGATGCTGAGCTACACTCAAATAAATTTTGGAAAAATTAAATTTTCGAGATAATCGTTCCGGAATACCGCAAATAAAATAGGGAAAAAGTTTTGAACAAAATATGTATGGCGCACTTTTTGATTGGTCCAGCGGATGCTTAGCTACACTTAAACATATTTTGGAAAAATTTTCGAAAAATTAAATTTTCCAGATAATTGTTCAGGAATACCGCCAAAGTCTTTAGCAAAAAGTAGCGAATAAAAAATGTATGGCGCACTTTTGGATTGGTCCAGCGGATGCTGAGCGACACTCAAATAAATTCATGAAAAATTTTCGAAAAATTAAATTTTAGAGATAATTGGTCGGGAATACCGCCAAAGTCTTAACCCGGGAGTCTCGAACAAAAAATGTATGGCGCACTTTTTGATTGGTCCAGCGGATGCTGAGCTACACTCGAATAAATTTTGGAAAAATTTTCGAAAAATTAAATTTTCCAGATAATTGTTCAGGAATACCGCCAAAGTCTTTAGCAAAAAGTAGCGAATAAAAAATGTATGGCGCACTTTTGGATTGGTCCAGCGGATGCTGAGCGACACTCAAATAAATTCATGAAAAATTTTCGAAAAATTAAATTTTAGAGATAATTGGTCGGGAATACCGCCAAAGTCTTAACCCGGGAGTCTCGAACAAAAAATGTATGGCGCACTTTTTGATTGGTCCAGCGGATGCTGAGCTACACTCAAATAAATTTTTTAAAAAATTTCAAAAAAATAAATTTGCGAGATAATTGATCGGGAATACCGCCAAAGTCTTAACCCAGGAGTCTCGAACAAAAAATGTATGGCGCACTTTTTGATTGGTTCAACGGATGCTGAGCTACACACAGATAAATTTTTAAAAAAATTTCGAAAAAATAAATTTGCGAGATAATTGGTCGGGAATACCGCCAAAGTCTTAACCCGGGAGTCTCGAACAAAAAATGTATGGCGCACTTTTTGATTGGTCCAGCGGATGCTGAGCTACACACAGATAAATTTTTTAAAAAATTTCGAAAAAATAAATTTGCGAGATAATTGGTCGGGAATACCGCCAAAGTCTTAACCCGGGAGTCTCGAACAAAAAATGTATGGCGCACTTTTTGATTGGTCCAGCGGATGCTGAGCTACACTCAAATAAATTTTTTAAAAAATTTCGAAAAAATAAATTTGCGAGATAATTGGTCGGGAATACCGCCAAAGTCTTAACCCGGGAGTCTCGAACAAAAAATGTATGGCGCACTTTTTGATTGGTCCAGCGGATGCTGAGCTACACTCAAATAAATTTTGGAAAAATTTTTGAAAAATTAAATTTTCGAGATAATCGTTCCGGAATACCGCAAATAAAATAGGGAAAAAGTTTTGAACAAAATATGTATGGCGCACTTTTTGATTGGTCCAGCGGATGCTTAGCTACACTTAAACATATTTTGGAAAAATTTTCGAAAAATTAAATTTTCCAGATAATTGTTCAGGAATACCGCCAAAGTCTTTAGCAAAAAGTAGCGAATAAAAAATGTATGGCGCACTTTTGGATTGGTCCAGCGGATGCTGAGCTACACTCAAATAAATTCATGAAAAATTTTCGAAAAATTAAATTTTAGAGATAATTGGTCGGGAATACCGCCAAAGTCTTAACCCGGGAGTCTCGAACAAAAAATGTATGGCGCACTTTTTGATTGGTCCAGCGGATGCTGAGCTACACTCGAATAAATTTTGGAAAAATTTTCGAAAAATTAAATTTTCCAGATAATTGTTCAGGAATACCGCCAAAGTCTTTAGCAAAAAGTAGCGAATAAAAAATGTATGGCGCACTTTTGGATTGGTCCAGCGGATGCTGAGCGACACTCAAATAAATTCATGAAAAATTTTCGAAAAATTAAATTTTAGAGATAATTGGTCGGGAATACCGCCAAAGTCTTAACCCGGGAGTCTCGAACAAAAAATGTATGGCGCACTTTTTGATTGGTCCAGCGGATGCTGAGCTACACTCAAATAAATTTTTTAAAAAATTTCAAAAAAATAAATTTGCGAGATAATTGATCGGGAATACCGCCAAAGTCTTAACCCAGGAGTCTCGAACAAAAAATGTATGGCGCACTTTTTGATTGGTTCAACGGATGCTGAGCTACACACAGATAAATTTTTAAAAAAATTTCGAAAAAATAAATTTGCGAGATAATTGGTCGGGAATACCGCCAAAGTCTTAACCCGGGAGTCTCGAACAAAAAATGTATGGCGCACTTTTTGATTGGTCCAGCGGATGCTGAGCTACACACAGATAAATTTTTTAAAAAATTTCGAAAAAATAAATTTGCGAGATAATTGGTCGGGAATACCGCCAAAGTCTTAACCCGGGAGTCTCGAACAAAAAATGTATGGCGCACTTTTTGATTGGTCCAGCGGATGCTGAGCTACACTCAAATAAATTTTTTAAAAAATTTCGAAAAAATAAATTTGCGAGATAATTGGTCGGGAATACCGCCAAAGTCTTAACCCGGGAGTCTCGAACAAAAAATGTATGGCGCACTTTTTGATTGGTCCAGCGGATGCTGAGCTACACTCAAATAAATTTTGGAAAAATTTTTGAAAAATTAAATTTTCGAGATAATCGTTCCGGAATACCGCAAATAAAATAGGGAAAAAGTTTTGAACAAAATATGTATGGCGCACTTTTTGATTGGTCCAGCGGATGCTTAGCTACACTTAAACATATTTTGGAAAAATTTTCGAAAAATTAAATTTTCCAGATAATTGTTCAGGAATACCGCCAAAGTCTTTAGCAAAAAGTAGCGAATAAAAAATGTATGGCGCACTTTTGGATTGGTCCAGTGGATGCTGAGCTACAGTAAAAAACAAATTTGGAAAATTTCCGAAAAATTAAATTCGCGAGATAATATATCGGGATTAATGCCAAAAAATTGAGCAAAAAGTCTCGAACAAAAAATGTATGGCGCACTTTTTGATTGGTCCAGCGGATGCTGAGCTACAAACAGATAAATTTTTTAAAAAATTTCGAAAAAATAAATTTGCGAGATAATTGGTCGGGAATACCGCCAAAGTCTTAACCCGGGAGTCTCGAACAAAAAATGTATGGCGCACTTTTTGATTGGTCCAGCGGATGCTGAGCTACACTCGAATAAATTTTGGAAAAATTTTTGAAAAATTAAATTTTCGAGATAATCGTTCCGGAATACCGCAAATAAAATAGGGAAAAAGTTTTGAACAAAATATGTATGGCGCACTTTTTGATTGGTCCAGCGGATGCTTAGCTACACTTAAACATATTTTGGAAAAATTTTCGAAAAATTAAATTTTCCAGATAATTGTTCAGGAATACCGCCAAAGTCTTTAGCAAAAAGTAGCGAATAAAAAATGTATGGCGCACTTTTGGATTGGTCCAGTGGATGCTGAGCTACAGTAAAAAACAAATTTGGAAAATTTCCGAAAAATTAAATTCGCGAGATAATATATCGGGATTAATGCCAAAAAATTGAGCAAAAAGTCTCGAACAAAAAATGTATGGCGCACTTTTTGATTGGTCCAGCGGATGCTGAGCTACACACAGATAAATTTTTTAAAAAATTTCGAAAAAATAAATTTGCGAGATAATTGGTCGGGAATACCGCCAAAGTCTTAACCCGGGAGTCTCGAACAAAAAATGTATGGCGCACTTTTTGATTGGTCCAGCGGATGCTGAGCTACACACAGATAAATTTTTTAAAAAATTTCGAAAAAATAAATTTACGAGATAATTGGTCGGGAATACCGCCAAAGTCTTAACCCGGGAGTCTCGATCAAAAAATGTATGGCGCACTTTTTGATTGGTCCAGCGGATGCTGAGCTACACTCAAATAAATTTTGGAAAAATTTTTGAAAAATTAAATTTTCGAGATAATCGTTCCGGAATACCGCAAATAAAATAGGGAAAAAGTTTTGAACAAAATATGTATGGCGCACTTTTTGATTGGTCCAGCGGATGCTTAGCTACACTTAAACATATTTTGGAAAAATTTTCGAAAAATTAAATTTTCCAGATAATTGTTCAGGAATACCGCCAAAGTCTTTAGCAAAAAGTAGCGAATAAAAAATGTATGGCGCACTTTTGGATTGGTCCAGCGGATGCTGAGCTACACTCAAATAAATTTTGGAAAAATTTTTGAAAAATTAAATTTTCGAGATAATCGTTCCGGAATACCGCAAATAAAATAGGGAAAAAGTTTTGAACAAAATATGTATGGCGCACTTTTTGATTGGTCCAGCGGATGCTTAGCTACACTTAAACATATTTTGGAAAAATTTTCGAAAAATTAAATTTTCCAGATAATTGTTCAGGAATACCGCCAAAGTCTTTAGCAAAAAGTAGCGAATAAAAAATGTATGGCGCACTTTTGGATTGGTCCAGCGGATGCTGAGCTACACTCAAATAAATTCATGAAAAATTTTCGAAAAATTAAATTTTAGAGATAATTGGTCGGGAATACCGCCAAAGTCTTAACCCGGGAGTCTCGAACAAAAAATGTATGGCGCACTTTTTGATTGGTCCAGCGGATGCTGAGCTACACTCAAATAAATTTTGGAAAAATTTTTGAAAAATTAAATTTTCGAGATAATCGTTCCGGAATACCGCAAATAAAATAGGGAAAAAGTTTTGAACAAAATATGTATGGCGCACTTTTTGATTGGTCCAGCGGATGCTTAGCTACACTTAAACATATTTTGGAAAAATTTTCGAAAAATTAAATTTTCCAGATAATTGTTCAGGAATACCGCCAAAGTCTTTAGCAAAAAGTAGCGAATAAAAAATGTATGGCGCACTTTTGGATTGGTCCAGTGGATGCTGAGCTACAGTAAAAAACAAATTTGGAAAATTTCCGAAAAATTAAATTCGCGAGATAATATATCGGGATTAATGCCAAAAAATTGAGCAAAAAGTCTCGAACAAAAAATGTATGGCGCACTTTTTGATTGGTCCAGCGGATGCTGAGCTACACACAGATAAATTTTTTAAAAAATTTCGAAAAAATAAATTTGCGAGATAATTGGTCGGGAATACCGCCAAAGTCTTAACCCGGGAGTCTCGAACAAAAAATGTATGGCGCACTTTTTGATTGGTCCAACGGATGCTGAGCCTTGTTTCCTAGTTTCCAAAAATGTTAAATTTTTTTGTGGGTCAAAAATTGTGTCGGACGGTGTTATTTATTAAAAAACAGTTAAAGAAATATTTTCAAATAATTTTCTCCCCTTTTTCCTTATTACCTCAATTTCTCTTTTTACTTTAATTTTTGTTTTATTATACCGCATTTAATTAATTTCCTCTCATTTTATTTTACTGATATTATATATCATTTTTGTTTATTATTATTTCTGTAATTTTTTTTTTAATTTTTTTAAATATATAATTATACATAATCGCCACTAATTTCATTCAGCAAGTGAAAATATTCGCGCACGAAGAAAAGAAAAAAATTCAATAATTATTATTGTATATATATATATATATATATATATATATATATAGGGGTATAGAGTAATAATAATTGAAACCTCCAATTTTTTTTTTTTTGAATTCAACAGTGCCCGTTTGGTCAGCGGTTACTGTAATGGGAGTCAAATTGAAAGACATCAATAAAGAAATTGGAACGAACCAAGATCCCGAGGCATGGAATAAGATTCACGAAAAAGTGATTGGCACAACTGACCAATTGTTGGAAAAAAAAGGTTATTCCAATTGGAGTGTTGGAATTTGCGTTGGGGAAATTGTCGACGCCATTGTACGAAACACTTGCATTTGCATTACCGTGTCGGTATTTCTAAAGGTTGGTTAATAATAATAATAATAATAATAATAAGCACCTTCTTGAACTTAATTTTACAAAATGTCTCAAAAAAAAAAAAAAAAAAAAAAAAAGTTCCGCAAACTTATGGGCGGATCTTGAAATTTCAGGAGAAATTTTTGTATGTATATATATATATATACAAAACCCAAGGACCAACAATTCATCTTAATCATTCACGTGCGCCTTTTCCGTTTGCGCGACAGGTGGAATATATATTTCACCTGACAACACACGAGACTTTCTTTTTTTTCGAAAAAAAAATAATAGTAAATAAATAATAATAAAAATAAATTTTTTTATTTAATTTCTCGAAATTAAGGTGCAAAACGTGTAGCTAAAAATTTGGACTGTAATAGCAAAAATTATTTTACTAAATAAAACCTGAATACTAATTTTTTTCAATTGCAAAAAAATTGATGTCTAATACAATTAAAATTAATTAACTAATTAAAAAAATTATAAAAAATGAATAAAATAAATTAATTAAAGATATAAATAAAATTGTTTTATAAGGTGTTATTTATTTTATTTATTAAACTGGAAAAATAATAAATTACTTTATATTTATTGAATTATTTAGTTTTTAAATTATTAATAAATTAAATAATCAATTAAATTCGTGTTTGTTATTAATTTTTTTATTATTAGTTATTCATATTATTTATTTTAATTAATAATTTAATTAATTGACAATAAATAAATTTATTATTTATTTATATATTATTTATTTTAATTATTAATTTTTCTTTTTTTTTAATTTTATTTATTGGTCCAATTTTTGGATAAAATAATTATTTATTAAAATAATAATATTTTAATGACTAGTTGCATATAATAATGGGATTATTGAAAATAATTTTTTTTTTTTTGGTTTTTTATTTTTAAAGGGTTGTCGACATGGATTTGAAAAAGATATCTTCATGTCTTTACCCTGTGTGGTTGGACGAAATGGAATTCAATCGTACATTCGTCAACTTTATACACCTGAAGAACAAGAACTGATGACAAAATCCGGTCGTTCAATTTACGAGGCTCAAAAACGCATAATGGACAAACTTGAATAAAAATATTTTTCATTTACACTTCAATAATTTTTTATAAATAAATTAATAAATAAAGTACAATGATACCTTTTTTTCAAAAAAAAAAAAATGATAAAAACAATTAATTATCTTAATTAAATTATTCTTTTGATATTATTTTAATAATAATTTGATTATTAATTATTATTACTAATTTCATTATTAATAATTACTATTACTAATTTTTTAGGACTAATTTAATAATAATTTATTAATTATTAATTAATTATTTCATAATTATTTATTAGTAGTTTACTAATCGTTTACTAATTATTTACTAATTATTTACTAATTATTTACTAATTATTTACTAATTATTCACTAATTGATTACTAATTATTTACTAATTTTTATTATTATTATTATTATTATTTAATTATTTACTAATTGTTTACTAATTATTTACTAATTTTTATTATTTTTATTATTATTATTTAATTATTTTTTCATTATTACTAATTTTTAAGAACAAATTTAATTAAATTATTAAAATAGAAAATTTTGTAATACTATTTCCTTAAAATATTATGTAAATTTGTTATTTTCATTATTATTCGTATGGTTTCTGTTTTTTGGAAAAAAATAATTTATACAGTTGAATTTGTAACATAGTATAAGGAAACGCAGGTCGATTTTAACAGAGATGGTGCGCGCGGTCTCTTAATTGAGAATGCGGGCTGATTAAAATAAATTCAACTCACGCCTTCCTGAATTCTTGAGAATGTTTGTAAAACGTTGAATTGAGAGTCACAGGAAGACATAAATCGAAAAGGCTTGAGATTAGGTGAGAACTGCATTAATCAGTCTTATACGAATGAGGTCTTATTCCATTTTAAGTAAGACGCATCGTTATTTGCTGACGCAATTTTTTTTTTTTTCACCAAACGCGTATCTCTTCCGGATATTAATAAACAAAACCAAAATAAATAAATAAATAGAAATTTTATACCAAAAGGGCTGTAAATATGAAAATGCAATACAGGACCAGTTTACATTATTTTTATACAAAAATAATAATAAAATAATAATAAAATAAATAAAATAAATAAAATAAATAAAATAAATAAAATAAATAAAATAAATAAAATAAATAAAATAAATAAAATAAATAAAATAAATAAAATAAATAAAATAAATAAAATAAATAAAATAAATAAAATACTAATAGTAAATAATAATAATTATTATTATAATAAATATAAAAAAATTGACGCGTTCTGAAGAAAGGGACCTAAGAAGCAAACGAATTATAGGTTATGTTTATTATGTTTCAGAACATAACCTATAATTTTTTGCTTTTTAGGTCCCTTTCTTCAGAGTGGATCACAAATAATAAATAAATAAATAAAAAAAAATAATAATGAAATAATAAAAATTAATAAATATAACAATAATGTAATACTTTTCTGTAATAAGAAAAATTAATTCAAATTTGGACCATGAAAAAAAAATGATTTTTTTGTGATTATTTAAGCAAATATAATTGTGGCTAATTTTATATTAAGAAAAGGATATGAATTTAATGATTCATTACTTGGTCACTAATAATGAATGCGTTCCTGGTAATTCATTGATGGGGGGTGGGGGGAGGGGGGCCCTCATGAGTTCACATTTTGGGACCTCACAACACCATCCTACAACTTCATTCGGGATACCACGCAATGTGTCTCCTCTCTTCGCGAGAGACGACTCTTTTTATATTATATGTAGGTACTTGGTATACCTACATGGCTTCCGAGGTGGAGCCATTTTTCTGTATTATCTCGATGACACGTCTTAAGTCCATAATTTATATGTTGGATCTCGATTGTGGGTAATGACATAATTCCAGTCAAGGAGCTAACAAAATGCATGTGTGCAGCTTGCAAATTCGATACACACGTATTAAATTTTTTTTTTTTTAAATTACGAAATATATATGATAATTTTTTTTTTTCAATATTCATTATCCCCCCTTTATGAAAATGACGAAATTATGTACCTACATACATTGTTTTAGGTGCTTAAAAAGAAAATTTTATACTATGTATATAATATGAAATTTATACAGGAATTTTTTTTGATCGTTTTAAGAAGAAAGAAACTGATTGCATTTTTAAAATATTAAATTAAATTATTAAATTATTTATTAAATTTCAATATTAAAAAATTTTTTTTTTTTGTTAAAAAATACAAATGAATGTAATTAATTAATAAAATAAATAAATAAAAAATCGCAAATGAATGTTATTGATAAATAAAATCCAACCCTAATAAGAAGAATATCTTCTTGACATCCAGAAGATATACTGAGAATATCCTTAAAATATCTGTGGGATATCCTGACGATATCTATGGGATATCTGGAGGATATTTATGAAAGTCTATAGAGATATCCATAAGATATCCTCAGATATCCATGGGATATCCAAAGGATATCCAAACCGCCGATTTTTTGGATATCCTTAAGAGATCCTTTTGATATCCATAGGACATCCCTAGGATATCTGCGGGATATTATCAATATATATATATATATATATATATATATATTGATAAAATATATAGGATATATTGATAATATCCCGCAGATATCCTAGGGATGTCCTATGGATATCAAAAGGATCTCTTAAGGATATCCAAAAAATCGTCGGTTTGGATATCCTTTGGATATCCCATGGATATCTGAGGATATCTTTTGGATATCTCTTTAGACTTTCATAAATATCCTCCAGATATTCCATAGATATCGTCAGGATATCCCACAGATATTTTCAGGATATTCTCAGTATATCTTCTGGATGTCAAGAAGATATTCTCAGGATACTATGTTTTTAAAGTCATTATGAGACTACGAGTAAGAATATTCTGTGAATTAAATTTTATATTTAAATAAAATAAAATGCAACTTGTTTTTCGAGAAAGTTGTTTAATTTGAAAAATTATTAATTAATTTTTTTCTCATTCGTGATTCATTCCTTTATTCATATGCTTAATATTGTCAGAAAATAAATTGGCTTTAAACAATATAAATTCTTCCCCGTAAATAACGAATAACTATTAATATTATAATTATACATTAAGTGCATGAGTTTATTTAAAAACTTTGAAAAATGCGTTTCAAATCTTCATTTAAAATAAATTAGAAGCTCATAAGATTTTTCTTTTTATTATATTATTATTCATTATATTAGCTTAACAATTTTAACCTTTAAAAATATATGTTGAGATATTAAATATCCCGTGAATATCCTAAGAATATCCCACGGACATCCTGAGGATATCCCATGGATATCCTGCGATATAATATCCAATAGATATTTTGTGGATGTCTTAGGGATATCCTGTGGATATCCTATGGATGTCCTGTTGATGTCCCACAGACCGGCGGTTTGGATATCCTATGGTTATCCCAAGATATCCTGGGGACCATTCTAGGATATCGACCATTTATATGGATATCCTAGGGATATCCTTTTGTTATAAGGGAAATGTTAATAATTATAAAAATTATTTATACAATTTGAAATAGAATAAAAGTTTGAGAATAAATTAAATGAATAAGAAACAATTAAAACGAACCTAACAAGGTAAATCTATTTTATAATCAATAAATGTACATAATTATTGTTTTTTAATTGTACACGTAACAGATTTACAGCTCGATTCTCCATTTTTATAATCCTGTTCTGACGTTTATTTGCCGTATTTTATATCTTTCTGTTTTGCTATTAAAATTAGAATGTAACGTTTATCACTTTAATGAACTCTCTCTCTCTCTCCCTCTGTATATACAGCTATATACACCTACAGATATATATTATTCAACGACTAACTACACGAAATATTATTGTAATTCGCCTTTAGCTGTAATTATATTGGGAAATGTATAATAAACTCTAGCTTTTTGTCTAATTATATGTTTTGTATATATATAGATAAACAAATCATATTTGAAAAGTTTATATATTTTAATATTTTTCATTCAAGTTTTAATATTTATAAACTCGTCATATTGGCTTGTAAACAAAATTACTGAACATTAAATTATTATTTTATATCGTAATTATGGGTTTTATTAATAATTACAATGCCTCATTTGGACTTTTATAATTATAAACAATAAGAATTTGTAACTGTCGACGTTAACTGTCTATATATATTGTGCAACTATTGTATATTTGATTTTAAAATTATTTTTAACTATCGGCTGTTAAAAATTACTGTAAATATTTAACTAATATTAAGAATGGAAAAAAATTTTTTAGCAACGGTTGCTGAGGATAAGAGAATCTTAGCAACCGTTGCTAAGGAAAAGAAATCCTTAGCAATCGTTGATGAGAAAAAAATTCTTAGCAACGATTGCTTAGTATTTCTTTTCCTTAGTGACGGTTGCTAAAGTTCCTTATTTTCTTAGCCAACCGGATTTTTTTCCTTAGCGACGGTTGCTAAGAATTTATTTCCTTAGCAAACCGGATTGTTTTCCTTAGCAACGGTTGCTAAGGATTTTTTTTGCTTAGTAACCGTTGCTAAGAATTTATTTCTTTAACTAACCGGATTGTTTTCTTTAGCAACGGTTATTAAGGATTTTTTTCTTTAGTGACGGTTGCTAAGGTTCTTTTTTCCTTAAACAACCGGATTGTTTGCCTTAGCAACCATCGCGAAGGAAAAGAAATTCTTAGAAAGCGTTGCTAAGAAAAAAAATCCGGTTGGCTAAGAAAATAAGGAACTTTAGCAACCGTCGCTAAGGAAAAGAAATACTAAGCAACCGTTGCTAAGGATTTTTTTCTTATCAACGATTACTAAAGATTTCTTTTCTTTTGCAACGGTTGCTAAGGGAAAAAATCCGGTTGGCTAAGGAAAAAAGAAACTTAGCAACCTTCGCTAGTCAAAAAAAAGTTCGAAATATACAAAATGACCTGAAATGGAGTGGGGCTTTAGGGTGCAATTTTTGAAAAATATAATGCATTAAAAATAACAAAATTTTGCCATTGATTTTACAAATATTTGTAATTAATTTTTTTTAATAAACAGCATTACCGTATTAATTTATTAAAAAAATTACT